ACACTGTGTTAACAAACCTCCAAACGAGCTTCAATGCCATACAACACTCCTTCAGTAGCCTCCAACTGCTCTTAAACACTAGTAAAACTAAATGCATGCTCTTCAATCGAACGCTGCTGGCACCCGCCCACCCGACTAGAATCACCACTCTCGACGGGTCTGACCTAGAATATGTGGACAACTACAAATACCTAGGTGTCTGGTTAGACTGTAAACTCTCCTTCCAGACTCACATTAAGAATCTCCAATCCAAAGTTAAATCTAGAATCGGCTTCCTATTTCGCAACAAAGCCTCCTTCACTCATGCTGCCAAACATGCCCTCGTAAAACTGACTATCCTACCGATCCTTGACTTCGGCGATGTCATTTACAAAATAGCCTCCAACACTCTACTCAGCAAATTGGATGTAGTCTATCACAGTGCCATCCGTTTTGTCTCCAAAGCCCCATACACTACCCACCACTGTGACCTGTACGCTCTTGTTGGCTGGTCCTCACTACATGTTCGTTGTCAAACTAACCAGGCCATCTAGCTTAGTGGTTAAGAGCGTAGTGCCAGTAACCGAAAGGTCACTGGTTCTAATCCCCGAGCCGACTAGGTGAAAAATCTGTCGATGTGCCCTTGAGCAAGGCACTTAACCCTAATTGCTCCTGTAAGTCGCTCTGGATAAGAGCGTCTGCTAAATAACTAAAATGTAAAATGTAAAATGTAATCTATAAATCACTGCTAGGCAAATCCCCGCCTTATCTTAGCTCATTGGTCACCATAGCAGCACCCACCCGTAGTCTGCGCTCCAGCAGGTATATCTCACTGGTCATTCCCAAAGCCAACACCTCCTTTGGCCGCCATTCCTTCCAGTTCTCTGCTGCCAATGACTGGAACGAATTGCAAAAATCTCTGAAGCTGGAGACTATTATCTCCCTCACTAACTTTAAGCATCAGTTGTCAGAGCACCTTACCGATCACTGCACATGTACACAGCCCATCTAAATTTAGCCCACCCAACTACCTCATCCCTATATTGTTATTTATTTTGCTCTTTTGCACCCCAGTATCTCTATTTGCACATAATCTCTTGCACATCTAGCATTCCAGTGTTAATACGAATTGTAATTATTTTGCACTATAGCCTATTTATTGCCTTACCTCCATAACTTGCTACATTTGCACACACTGTATATATATTTTCTGTAGTATTTTTTTTGACTTGATGTTTTTTTTTTTTACCCCATATGTAACTCTGTGTTGTTGTTTTTATCGCACTGCTTTGCTTTATCTTGGCCAGGTCGCAGTTGTAAATGAGAACTTGTTCTCAACTGGCTTACCTGGTTAAATAAAGGTGAAATAAAATAAATAAATAAAATACTCTGTAATGTGTAAGAAGTGTAAGAAAAATGATATGATTTATTTGTATTTTTATGAAAAATAAAACACTAATATATCTTGATTAGATAGTAATTATTCAACCCCCTGAGTCAATAGATGTTAGAACAGGGTTCTCCAACCCTGTTCCTGGAGAGCTACTGTCCAGTAGGTGTTCACTCCAACCCTAATCTAGTGCACATGATTTCAATAATTAGCTTGTTGATAAACTGAATCAGGTTAGTTACAACAGGTTGGAGTGACAACCCACAGAAGGGTAGCTCTCCAGGAACAGGGTTGGAGAGCCCTGTGTTAGAATCACTTGTGGCAGCGATTACATCTGTGGCAGCTTTTGGATAAGTCTCTAAAGCTGCGTTCACATTGGCAGTTTTAAGTGTCTCAAATCCTATTTATGTGCATATCCGATTCTAATCTGTTAATTTTCCTGCAGTCTGAACAACCAAAAAGCACATGAAATTGGATATTTCAAGCCACATTTCAAACCACCTTCGTAGGTGGTTTGAAGTCAGATACAAGTCACATGGCCAGGAATCAGATTTGTATCTGAACGGTCAAATCTGATTTATTTGCCCTCAAGTAGTTTTTAGACTGTTATTCGGCATATATTGTTGCTTGCTAGCCGCTCTGTTGACAGTTTGACAAGAACATATGGTAGATAACTAGCTTGTTAATTGTTTACAAACAAATTAGTGACTGTGCTAGAAAGCTAAGCAGCTACCTAGCTAGCTAGTTTGATTGATTGAATTGATATGACAATTTGTAAAATACATACATAAGGGCGCTCCAGCCGGTGATGCCTCCACATGCAATTTAAGAAAATCATCAACAATAACACAATAAAGCTTAACAGCTTATTTCCATTGTGATCCTTTTGAAGAGGGAAGGGGGAACGGGGAATGCAACAAGGTCAGGCGGTAATTGTAATGGCAACAGACAATGACAGACAAAAATTGTTGTTTGTTTCATAACATGTGATAATTAGTACAATTTCCTTTCCTAATAAACAACTATGGATAGGTACATCTCCCTTGTCTCACATACCCTTAATATATAAAACAATCAATACCTTATACAGTATATACAAGTCAATCACAATATAATAAACCAAAAGGCAGACCATATGCTCTCCCGGGTATTTCCTTCTCAGCCACGTACTGTAATCTTACGACTCACTTTTGAGACATGCTACTATTTAGCCATTTTTTCATTGAGAACTTGAAACTACCTATGGCGGTTATACGTTTAAAATTCTTCTGAAGACTATTCCAAAGAATGGCAGCTGAGTATAATTTTTTTTATTTCCCCATACCACTTTTAAATCTAAAAGGAACAACGTCAGTTTCACTTCTTCTAGTGGAATAGTTATGGTTATCCCATACTAAGTTGAAGTAGTTACATAGGTACCTGTGGACCATACTGTGGACAATCTTATGTACAAGACACAATTTATTCTGAGCGACTCTCTCCTCCACTTTGAGCCATCTAAGGCTTTTAAAGTGGAACTAGTCAAGATGCGTAAATGCTGGAAGTTTAAGAATAATCCTGACTAATTTGTTCTGAGATGTCTGCAATTTATTGTTATTATCTTGGGGGCACTATTGTACCAGGAAGAGCATGCACAGTCAAAGTGGCACTGAACCAGAGCCCCTGCCAATGTCCCCATTGCATTCTTATCCAGATATTTGGAGGTTCTTGCCAGAAACCTAATTTTATGGTTCACTTTGGAGATAACATTTTGTGACATGCTCTCCCTTATCAGATGTTTATCTAGCACACATCCAAGATACTTAACAGAGTATTTTGCTGTGACTACTATGTCACCTACTACCACCTTTAAATCAGGGGATTTCCTCAGTTTCACCTTGGACCCGAACAAGATGGACTCTGTTTTTCCAAGGTGAAGTGACAGCTTATTGTCATATAGCCATTTATTAACATTCAGAAGTTCAGCACTGAGGGCTTTCTCAACCACCTTTTTGTCTTTGTGGAAACCAACAGTGAAGAATTATCTGCATATAAGAAAAGGTCAGGCAGATTTCAGATCATTTATATACAATACAAAGAAAAGTGGACCCAGCACACTCCCTTGGGGTACCCCGCAGTTCAAGATTTTGGGTTTAGACAGGGTCCCATCCACATCCACCATCTGTTTTCTTCCTTGCAGGTGAGAGCTAACCCATTTTACTGCTAAGTTGTTAAAGCCCATGGCTTTTAGTTTGATTAACAGAATTTCATGATCCACTATACCGAACGCCTTTTGGAGATCTAACATAACCATACCACAAAATTTCCCTCCGTCTACTTCCTTATGTGGTCAGTTAGATATAGTAGGCAAGAGTCGGTGGAATGGGATTTCCTAAAGCCAGATTGGAGCTCATAGAATAGGTTATGTAAGGAAATATAACTGTCAATCTGCTTGAACATACTCCTTTCCATGACCTTTGACTGCTGTGGCTAGCCAAAAAGGACTCGTTTTGAAAGTTGGAACATGTTATCCTTTGAGGTTTTAAAAGTGTTGTTACCCTATGATTTTTATCATTCAAAGCAACTTGGAAATGTCCATGGCAGGCTTTGTTGTCACCTTAGCTTGCTACATATCTTCTGAGTGATAGGAAGCACCAGCACCACCACCAATCAGCTTACACCACTGCACACATACCCGTCATTACTATGACAACTAGCATAGCCTTGTCAGCAAATGACTGCTGTCTGAACACACACAAATCCGATTTGGTCACTTGTAACTTGTTGTTTGGAAAGTCAGTAGTCCCAAATGGATTTGCAAAACAAAAATGATTTGAGCATTAAGGCCTGCAGTGTGAACAAGGCTTTAGACAAGTGTCAAACTCATTCCAAGGAGGGCCGAGTGTCTGCAGGTTTTCGCTCCTCCCTTGTACTTGATTGATGAATTAAGGTCACTAATTAGTAAGGAACTTCCCTCACCTGGTTGTCTATGGCTTAATTGAAAGGAAAAAACAAAAACCAGCAGAGATTAGGCCCTCCAGGGTATGAGTTTGACACCCCTGCTCTAAGAGCTTTGCATACCTAGATTGTACAATATTTTCCATTATTATTCAAAAATTGTTTAAGCTCTGCCACGTTGGTTGTTGATCATTGCTAGTGTCGTGTATTGGGATTATGCCTTTGTTAAATGTTTTTCTTGAAGAAATTGAATGTTGTTTATGTTAGGTCAAATGTAGCCGTTTGGAGGGTGACGCCCCAGGGGAGACTGGTGATTGGCCAGAAGAGGGAGCCACCCATCTTTTTGCATTGTTTATAAGTAGGGCTA